TAAATATTTTTTTAGTTTGTTTTGATAGACATATAATTTAATAGGGAGCAGGAAAAAGAGTCGTTGAATAGAATTTGTAATTTCGTGTTATTATTGTGTTTGTAGAATTTTGAAGTGTGCATTTTAAAAATGTAAAAAACTACACATTTTGTAGATTCAGTGCGGAATTGAAGTGAGTATTTTTTATAATTTTAGATTGAATTTATACGTGCGTTGGTTAACAACCACTGTAACCTATAAATTTATTTGTGAAGCTAATTGATTTCATATAAAACTTTTTCAATTGTTTTTATTTAAAATTTCTTATTTGAAGCAGTAAATAAAAAAAGCAAAAAAATAAAATTACGAATTTTTTATCTAAAATTTGGTACAATAAATCTTTTCAGTCCTGTTACTTAATTAAAATATGATTTTCAATAAATTACTCATATTTTTTATGTACTATTTTACAGTAATTTGTTTTACAAAGAAATGCCACGTCTTCGTGGAAGAGCAAGAAATATTGTTCGACGTACTCGAAACGCTCAATTGGTCCATGATCATCGATTGAATAGAACAGTTGAAGAACACTTGACGTATAATGTGAATTTAAGAAATCAAGTTGCATCTTCACGTGAAAATGAAAATTCAGAGCAACGCAATCAACGTCTTCGTGCAAATGCATTAAGACAACGAGAGACATCGCCAACGAGCGACCAACGAAAACAGAGAACGTGACCAACGGCGAATGCAAGATAATCGATCATTGATACGAGCATCACTTAATCGTCTTGCATTTGAATATGACCCTGAAATAGACTATTCGTCACATCCACTATTCTTAATCGGTAGCATGGACAACGAGTGTCAATATTGTCATGCTTTAAAGTACAAAGGTGAATCGCCTGGTTTATGTTGCGCATCTGGAAAAATTTCACTTCCACCGTTAAATCCACCACCGGAACCTTTGAAAACATTATTAGCTGGAACCGGAAAATTCGGAAAATTCGTGAATTCAATTCTTGCTTTCAAATGACATCATTTGGAGCAACAAAAATTGTTCATAATGAGGATGGTCGTAATTTTGAGTCTACATTTAAGATTCAAGGTCAAGTGTACCACCAAATTGGTTCATTGCTTCCAATGCCTAATGTTGATCCAAAATTCTTACAAATTTACTTTATGGGCGATGAGGAGCTACAAACTCATACACGATGCGTATACAACCATATAAAGCAGATGGAGGAACGAGAAATTCTGTACATTTTGGAAACGTTCTTGCGAAACCTTTACCAATTGATACGATTGTTCAAGACTCTTTCCAACAGACTGCAAAACGACAACTACGCCATTGTTATTTAAGCAGACAAAGTGCCCTATGGAGAGCACGCAGGCACATATAATGTTCCAACTGTTAATGAAGTTGCAGTTGTTATGGCTGGTGACCCATGTGAACGTCGAGATATTCGCATACAACGCAGAGATAATACAATATAAATAATTCAAGACAATAATCGTTCTTACGATGCACTGCACTATCCGTTGATATTTTGGGAAGGAGAAGATGGATATCATTTAATTATTAAACAAAGGAATCCAACAACAGGCACAACTTATAGATTATTTTATAATTTTTTTTGAACCAATTATTTCTGTTTATCTTATAGATAGTTTTATTTATAGGTGAAGAACTAATCGAGAAAGTTGGTGCGATGAACTTCTACGCATACCGGTTGATGATTCGTGAAAATGAAGATAATAACATTCTCCGATGCAGACAGCTATTTCATCAGTACATTGTTGATATGTATGTAAAAATCAAAAGTGAGAGATTGCGTTATATAAAATTTAATCAAGCGAAACTTCGTTCTGAGGAGTACATTCATTTACGTGACGCCATAATTGGTAACGTAGATGAAACGAATGATATCGACAACATCGGTACCGCATATATTCTTCCATCATCATACATTGGTAGTCCGCGTCATATGCAAGAATATATTCAAGACGCCATGTCTTACGTACGCGCATACGGCCGACCAGATCTTTTTATCACATTTACGTGTAATCCAAACTGGGATGAAATTAAAAATTTGCTGTTATCAGGTCAAACATCGATGCATCGCCATGATATCATTGCACGTGTGTTCAAACAAAAATTGAAATCTCTGATGAAATTGATTACACATCACTCGGTATTTGGTGAAACACGATGTTGGCTTTATTCTGTTGAATGGCAAAAACGAGGTTTACCTCATGCGAATATTTTGATTAGGTTGGTGGACAAAGTACGCCCAGAAGAAATTGACGAAATTATTTCAGCGGAAATTCCAAATCCGAATGCTAATCAAAAATTGTTTGACATTGTGACTACTAATATGATCCATGGTCCATGTGGTACTCTCAACATGATGTCACCATGTATGGATAATGAAAAATGTACGAAACGATTTCCTAAACTATGCCAAACTGACACTATAACCAATATCGACGGTTATCCATCTTACCGTCGTAGAGATGTAGACAATGGTGGTCAATTATATGAATTGCGTCTATCAAACGGTGTAAGAGTTGACATCGATAATCACTGGGTGGTTCCATGCTCACCATTGCTGTACAAAACCTATGAAGCACACATAAACGTTGAGTTATGCAGTTCGGTGAAGTCTATCAAGTACATTTGTAAGTACGTTCATAAGGGCAGTGATAATGCTATATTTGCTGTTCAAAATGTAAATAAGAATTACGAAATAACACATTATCAAATGGGACGATACATAAGTAGTAATGAAGCTATTTGGCGAATTTTTACATTTCCTATACATGAAAGGGATCCTGCTGTTGTACATTTGGCTGTGCATCTTGAAAGTGGACAGCGTGTTTATTTCACAGAACAGAATGCACTACAAAAAGCTTTAACAGCTCCAAAAACAACTCTTACTGAATTTTTCAACCTTTGTAATCGACAAGATATTGTTGGTGAATTTGCAAAGACATTAATGTATACTGATGTTCCTAAATGTTTTACATGGAATAAACAATCAAAAAGTTGGGAACCACGGAAACGAGGCACTCCAGTCCCAGGATTTGCCGACATAGTTATGACAAATACTTTAGGACGATTATATACAGTTCATCCTAAGCAACGCGAATACTTTTTTCTGCGTTTGTTATTGGTTAACGTTCCTGGACCGACATCCTTCCAATACTTGCGAAAAGTCAACGGTACTTTATACGGCACTTTCCTTGATGCGTGTCGTGAGTTACATTTATTGGAGGATGATAACCATTGGGACCTCACACTTGCAGATGCAGCACTGAGATCATCTCCACAGCAAATTCGTCAATTATTTTCAATAATATTGACAGCGTGTTTTCCGTCTGAAGCATCTGCTCTGTGGAATAAATGTAAAGACTCAATGAGTGAGGATATTTTGCATCAGATTAGAATTACTAATCAAAATCTCAGTATTGAATTCTCCACAGAAATATATAAGGAGGCATTAATAATGATTGAGGATATTTGTATTCTTATTTCAAACATGCCACTCATAAATTTTGGCATGCCAGCTCCAATCCACCAAGCAGCAGATATCATCAACAGCGACGTTCAACGTGAACACCAGTTCGATATGACTTCTCTGGCTACTTTTGTTGCTAACAATGAACGATTGCTTACTGCTGAGCAACGAAATATATATGATCAAATTAACGTGTCAATTGCAGCACAGCAAGGTGGATTTGTTTTTCTGGACGCACCAGGTGGCACTAGTAAAACACTCCTCATCTCACTAAAACTTGCGCTCATTCGATCTCAAAATCATATTGCATTGGCAATTGCTTCATCAGGCATTGCAGCAACCTTACTTGATGGTGGACGGACAGCGCATTCAGCACTTAAATTACCTTTGAATATTCATACCAATCCCGAAGCAATGTGAAACATAAAGGAGCATTCAGGCATGGCTGAAGTTTTGAGAAAATGTAAAATTATTATCTGAGATAAATGTACAATGGCCCACAAGCATTCGCTTGAAGCTCTCGACAGGTCCCTAAAAGATATCAAAGATAATACTCGGCTTTTTGGTGGTGCTCTACTGCTGCTGTCAGGTGATTTCAGACAAACATTACCCCTCATTCCACGTGCGACATATGCGGACGAAATAACCGCATGTTTGAAAGAATCTTATCTGTGGCGAAAAGTCAGTAAATTATGCCTTACTCTTAATATGCGTGTTCAACTTCAAAATGATCGATTAGCGTCAAGATTCTCTGAACAACTGTTAGACATTGGCAATGGTGAAATTCAATTGTATGAAGATACACAATATATTCGACTCCCACAGAGTTTTTGCAACATGGTGCCTACCAAAGAGGAGTTAATAAAAAGTATCCTTCCAGATTTGCCACATAATTATGCTAATCATGCATGGCTACGTGAGCGAGCTATTTTAGCCGCAAAAAATTTAGATGTTGACGCAATCAATTTTAAAGTACAACAATCATTGCCTGGCAGTGAAATTACATTCAAATCGATTGACACTGTTGTTGATCTTGATGAAGTTGTCAACTATCCAGCCGAGTTTTTAAATTCACTGGATTTACCTGGAATGCCATCCCATAATTTGCGATTGAAGATTGGTTCACCTATAATTTTGCTTATGCTCCGAAATTGTGTAATGGCACGCGACTGGTCATTAAAAAAATCATGGGTAACACTTTGGAAGCCACTATTTTAAGTGGAAAATTTCAAGGTGAAGTTGCACTTCTACCGCGAATCCCAATGATTCCTTCAGATTCGCCTATACCATTCAAACGTTTGCAATTTTCAATCCGCTTAGCATTTGCTATGACTATAATTAAGTCACAAGGTCAAACAATGACAATTTGTGGCTTAGATTTAGAAAACCCGTGCTTTTCTCACGGTCAATTATATGTTGCGTGTTCCAGAGTTGGAGAACCCTCGAATTTGTTTGTGTATGCTCCTGAAGGATTAACCAAAAATATTGTACATCTAATGGCATTACGATAACTTAAGTTTTTTTTAATTGAAAAAATATATCTGTTATAAAATAGTTTAAGTTTTCACTTTTTTACTTTTAATTAAAATAAGTTTAAGATTTGATTTAAAACAACCTCTACATTTAACTTCGCTGATAGTATACACATACTCACACGTTATCGATTGGTCGAATTGTGATAAGATATATGTAATGACGTTAGATAATATGATAACTTTTTAATAAAAATTTGCATCAAAATGATCCAGATTGTTACAGCTTATTCAAAAAAATTTGAAATTTTCCAATTAAAGACGTGTGTACAGGACATCGTCTGTCGGGTCCGCTAGTATATATATATATACTCTAAATTATTCAGTATAATATTATTACCTTGCGCACATCCATTTTCAAACCAACCCAAGGTAACTAATAAAACATACGCGCTTCAGTAATTCAGTAAGAACGTGCCTTAAAGGATTCTCCCAATTACTTTTCTGTTTTCATATTTTGTAATCTGGCAATCTTATTTCTAAATTATTTTAAATCATTCTTTAAAGATTCCAGTACCTACAAGTTCATTTGAATTCGATATTCGATTTATGGATTTCGTTTTGTGTTTTGCTCTGTATTTTCCTTACATTTTATTTTCTGTTGTTTGTTTGATATGTTTTATTTTGTATATATTTTTTACTTAATGTGTCTCGATTTTCGTTCCAAATTTTTTGAGTGATCCTCACACTATTGTACTGATATATTTTGCTTTAGCTACATTGATGCACTATTAGGAAGCACTCCTTTATACGGATGTAATCCTGTGAGCTGATGATGAGTTTATATCTTTTCATTATTTTGTTTTCCGTCTTTTTTATATTTTTTTAAATAAAAATTTTTTTTGAATATTTTTAAAATTTTTTTATTTTAATAATTTTTCTTCTCCTTTCATTATTCCTTTTTTTCAATGTTTTATCTGTATTTCTAATTTATTTTATGAGTTCTATATACTTGCAGCAAATGAAAGTAAAGAAGTAAATGAAACTTATTAATTTAAAAACTACGTGTAGTGTATACGTGTGTGCGGAGTATATAAACTACGTGTCTAATAGTTTGTGAATATAAACTACGTAGAGTATAAGCTGCGTGTCTAATAGCTACGTGTGTTTTCATTTGTCTGTTTTACTTTAACAAAATCGGATAAAGAGCGAAATATTTTTACAAATTATGTCCATTTTAAGCATTGTTTATGCATTTTAGACATAAAAGTTTCAACAATAAATGTAATTATTTTTAATGTTTCTGGATTGTCAAATTAAATTGTGTATCCTAGAAAAATAGTAAATTTGTAAGCACGTCACATAGGATTTAGAAACTTGAATTTAAGGAAAAGAAAAGTTTTAATGGAAATATGAAATTTGCTGATAAGTTTTATCTGTTTGTCAGAATTAATTTAACTGGTTTAGATAGATAGTGAAATATTTTATCAAATTATCTGTGCATCGAATACATATAAGTTTAAAGTAAATTGTAAAGTGAAATCACCACAAACAAACTTAATGCCATTTTTAATGGTATTTATATTAATTTAAAGCAATTTCAATGCTATTTTTATTAATTCACTAGAGGACTCCGCCCCCTACTCGCTACCGCTTGCCAACCCTCGATAATTGCTACGCAATTACATTTTTGTTTGCTTCCCGAACAAAATTAAAGTTCTTTTTCTGGAGATTAGCTGGTAATTTTTCTGCGCCAACATCACATAGAGAGAAAATGATAGGATTGTAAAATGTCAGAGGTGCTTATTAACAGCATTATAAACTTATGTAAAGCAATTTTAAAACAAACAATATTATAAACTTATATAACGTTGAGCAAATTTGTGATTTTGCTTATTAGGAGGGATCAAGCTTATTGTCGTTGTAACATTGACATCGCATTTAAAAGTAAGACAACTGATCCCTTTAAAAGAAATTTCATGAGATGGGCAAAAAGCTGCCATCGTAAATGCGGAGTTGTACGATCGAACATTCTGTTTAAAGTTAATTGAATCAGAATGGCTGCCAAGTAAAAGATCTTTTAATACCTCTGGATATTCCAGATTGGCGAGCTCAACTTTGCCATGATGGCAGTAATTAAATTTCGTTCTGCCATGCTCTGCTGGAAACGAAAGAGCGCCACAGTTTATACATTCATCACTAAATGTTCCAACGGAAAAAAGGGGTATAATGTCTGCTAAAGACTCACCAAGATATTCGTTCTCATTTAAACGTCTTGACTCTTCAACGTTTCTCGGTCGCGCATTCCGCCGTCGCGTATTGATAGCACTATGATTATTTTCCAGGTAATTTTGGTCCTGCTAAATTATGTTCAGCTGTATGTCGCTGTTGATATCGCCTAAGATATTCACGGTGATCCATTTTTTATAAAAGATATAAGTATTTTAAAGTAAACTCTGTTCAATATTTTTTGATAATTTGGAATGCAAATAGTTTTTTGAGAGAGTTTTTCGTTCTTCCAATAACTCTACCCGATTTATCAGAGCTATTAAAATATATTGGAATTCTAAAATAAATAACTGAGTTCCATCAAAACAAATATTTTATTATAAAACTGTAGAACAACTATGTTTTTACATTGCCACTCAAAATTATTAATAAACACTGGATAATATTGCGTTAATGACACTTTTATCTATTGACGTCATAAACAATCGTTTGCATAAAGTTTATTTCATAATAATCATATATAATCGTTTGCATAAATAATCGTTCAGTTTTTTTATAGCTTTACGTGACAAGTGCTTTTTTTTTTTTGGAATGACGAAGTTATAATTTTGTTGCTGAGTTAATAAATCTTCCTTTTTATAAACATAATAGTAGTATTTTCTTAATTATTTGATTCGAAGTCCGCTGAGTTTTATGTGAGGTCAGTTTGTATTTTATATTTTTTTGACAGCATTATTTAAAATTATTACCTTTCCACGCACATGCGTTCTCAATTCTGATTGGCTGTTTTGTGCGTTACTAACCAGAAGTCTTCTGTGATTGGCTATGCGTTATCATTCCATTCTCTTCTCCTATATAAAGAAATATGATTTTCTAGACTGCAGCTAAAATTGTTCTGAAAATCTTTTGCAAATTGCAATTATTGAAAAATTAATGCTTTTCTCCCCCATTACACACAACTTCTCCCTCAACAACACCAAAAACAAAGATAAACATCTTAAATAAAGGGCTTTGGGCAGTTTAGGGAAAAATAATTTCTTTGGTCACTATTTTACATAAATTTTTGACTCAGTGATTTTTTCAGGAATTTTTCATTAGTTTTTACAGTTACCACTAGAAGCAAATTCAATTAGAACTTAACTTGCTTTCACTTAGAAATTTACTTCCGCTAGAAGCCAAATAATAAGTAAGATACTATATCCCCCGCAACAAAACCAACACAAAGATACACTTCATTAAATAAAGGGCAGTACTGGGGCGAGTCACGCTTTTTTTTTGTTCAGTTCATTGACAGGTCAGTTTTGGTCAGCTTAGTGAAAAAGGTCTTTGGGTAGTACTATGATTCTCACCTACTTTTAATTTTTCTCTAAATACACAATTTCATATCAATTTGTTCCTTATTAATTTCTCCAAGACTATACTTTCTGAACTTCTGGAATTTCCACAAGTCGCAATTTAAATGGAATTATTGAGAAAGTAAAATTTATACACAATCTGGGAACATTAAGTAAAATGGATTTAATACGCATATTAAATAATGAGGGTTGGGCAATATAGTCTTAGTTCTTATATTATTAATATGTTTTGAAAAATTTATATGAAGGCTTGATGCATTGGACAATTTGTACTTTCGTAATTTTTTCCTAGACATTACTTAACAAATTTCCAGAATTTTGAAGTGAGAAAAATTCGATAGTAACTAGTGGGCTGCGCCCCCTGCTTGCTAACGCTCGCCAACCCCAAAAAATTGCTACGCAATCTTATATGGTTTGATTCGCAAACCAAGCTCGCTACTAACTTAGGTACATTGCAAATGCACAAAATTCTAAGAATTCAAAACAATCATTCAAGTCCACATAAAAACCTTTTTTTAAAAAAAATTACATCTTTTTAGTAAATACTAAGTCATTAAAATAAATTTGAATTCAAATAAATGACATGTAATTCGTTAAACCTATTAGAAATGTGCTATAGTATAAAATCTTAAAGCGTAACAGCACGACTGAGACTCATTTTTCAATGAATAACTAATAACAATAGTAAAACAAATAAATTCGTGATATAAATCAAAAATCGTCAAATAAATTCGTAATATATAAATTCGTGAAAAAAAGCGCTTTCGACAAAATACTAAAATAGAGATCTATCGACAAAGACTACTCACTTCTGCCTAGCTTATGCTCTCTCTGGTTATTTCAGTTTCCGTTTTTAAAAGCGCTATATGGTGAGCCATCTCAGCTAGATTTGGCATGTGATATTTTTAGTGGCAATCATTGGTCGATTTTCTAGCGTTGCCATTTGGGGAGTTGTAATGAGCCTTTTTTTTGTCGCCGAGTAAGGGAAATAGTAACGTAAACAAAACAAAGCAAACGTTGCCACCGGCGGAAAAGAAATACAGCCAAAATTTGGGAGCCACGTAAGATATATTATGCGTATATATATTGGATTATCAATTACAATGTCTCCGTAGCGAGAACAAAAAAAAGACATGCATCATAAATAAAGAACTTTTCTCAG